CCACACAACAACCACGACTTCCGGTCAAAGTTAACAATATCAATATACACCCCAAGGAAAGACTGAAATATGTAGGAGTCTGGATAGATCCGACCCTCTCCTTCCGGCCCCACATCGAAGCAGCGATCGCAAAAGGCCTTAAAGCCCTCCACCAGATTCGATACACAGCCCGCTTGCCAGGCATAACGGTCAAAACAATCCATCATATCATAACACAAGGCTTCCTCCCAAGCCTACTCTACGGATCCGAGGCTTGGTGGACCGGCGCAGACCACATTATAAGATCCCTCGAACCACTATATAATGAAGCGGCCCGGATCATCACCGGCCTACCACGATGGACCAAAAGAGCCAAACTCCTCCGAGAAGCAGGCCTACCCCCCTTAGAACACCTCCTGACATATCGCTCAAGAAAGTACGGAACCAGAATACTCTGCTCCGAGGCAACCCACCCCAACAATGAATCCCTGATCGAGCTCCTCCCTTACAAAGAAGCAAATATCAAAGGAACAGGCCTTCACCGAATCGCTTCCCTACTACTCCCATACCAGACCCCCGGAAATGCGAGAGATAAGTGGAACCAAAATAAACTACTACGCGACCACCTGTTGGAAGAATGGAACACACAATCAATACCGAACTACCACCACCGGGGGGAATTCCGCCCCCCTCCCAAGATAGCGAAACTCACCCTTACGGAAGCAAAAAAAGTATTTCGAATCCGGTGCCAAACCACCCGAATCGACAAACACGCAGTATATACAGACCCCGAACCATGCCAGTGTGGTATGGAAAACTCAGCGAAACACATACTCATGGAATGCCCAGCGTGGGCTCGAATCCGTACCCTCCTGATAGAGAAGATCCCCGGAGCGATGACCTGGGAAAACTGGATGTTTACAAACCTGAGAACGGACCTCATCCTACAATTTGCGAAACAATCTCAACTCTCGAAATGGTACGAGTCGGCGGAGGCGGAGGCGGACCTGGAAGAGGGGATGGAAGAAAATGACCGGGAACGGGATTAGGAAGGGGAGTTTTCCTTTTACTCTTTGAAAATTGTTTTTATTTCTTTGATTTGATGGATCCAGCGCTCGAGTCCGCTGAGATATGTTATTTCTCCTTGTCGTTGGGTTCTCTGGTCGAAGTGTTGTTCTGGATTTCCCTGTTATTGTTCGTGCTTGCTTGTGCTTGTTTTTATTCTTGTTTTTGTTCTTGTTTGTTTGTGTTTGCGTTTGTTGTTTTTCTTTCTTTTTGTTCGGTTCGGTTCGTGTTTTAGGCGGTTGGGTCGGGGTGCGATAAGTCTTGTACTTCAAAGCAATATAAGTTTCTTCTTCTTCTTCTGTATTCTACCCGCTCGCCTCTGGCTCGCGGTAGGATTTCTTCCCCCCGAGATGGAGTTATACTGATTCTCGAATTGCTTCGGTCCCTGAACTTCCCTCGCTCGACCCCCCCATTCTTTGCTCGTTCGGTGCCCTCACGGGTCGCGTCCACCGTTCACCCCTCGCCAAACCAGCGGCTACTCTCGAAAGCCGCCTTCGCCCCTCCTTACTTTCACTCATCGCACGAGTGATCCCACAAGTCGGGTACGCACACTGTCAGTAATCTCCAGTCAGCGAGAACCTACTGCCAAAGCGCTCGACAGCCCGCGAAGTTAGCGACCTCTCGGTCGCGAAACTATCGTCAAATTTTTACCCGAGGTCCCGTGACCTTACCCCTCTTTATCGGCCTTAACCAGGCCACCCACTTTTACCCGAGGCGGCCCGCTCCCCTCACCCCAACCCAACCGGTCTCCGAGACCACCCTCAACACAATACGGTCGGCACTTTCGATTGCGACCCCCATACATACTGAGCCTTCGGCTCAACCCTTTTTGCATGTCCCCTCCAGAGGACACTACTTCAAACACGACTCGGGCACAGTCTTTAGCCGTTGCTCCAGGGACCGACGACCCCACCCACTCCTTACTTGACTTACCAGTCACCACTCTTTACTTCCTCGCTGTTTGACAAGCAGATGCTCGAGGACCAATACTCAACCCACCCCCCCTCGCTTTCACCCCTGACGCTGTTGCGGTTGGCTTTTCCTGCCTTCGTGCGCGTGTTTTCCCAGTCCTGTTAAGGTTCGTCCACAGATATGACACCGGGAACGTTGGTAATGATATCGTTTCGATTGAACACTACTTATAGGATTGTGCTCGCTAATGTAGTTGACGGAGAAGTTTGGGGTTTTTATTCTTACTACGGGGAGGTTTCTTTGTTGTCGCTTAGATTCTGCTTACCTGTACCACTTGTTATTCGCGCCCTCTTCGTGCGCTGTTTTGTTTTATTATGTACGCGGTTCTTGTAGCCGCGGTAGTTAGTTCTGTACTTCGTTTTTTGCTTTCGGGTTAGTCGGTGGAGGTTGTAGTCGGGTAGTTAGGTGTGCGATAAGCTTCGGCTTCTATGCAATATAAGATTCTCTCTCTCTCTCTCTGTATTCTACTCCACGAATATTACTTTTATTCTACGCTACGTCATAGGGCTCATCTTGGATCTCCGATCAGGATTGAACCATCCCATAGTCCATAGTCACGAACATACTCTACTACGTTCTCGCCTCGGTTGTATTCCTTGACACTATAGTCTCTCGTCCATAGACCCACGTTATACTGTAGGTGTTTTGCGAGGGACGGGAGGAGTTAGACAAATGAAACTGACTCTCTCGCTGAGGCATTGTCAAGGATGTCTTTGTCGGTAGGATGGGCAGTGCAACGTACCAACTTTATAAGAGAGTTTTGGGAAGGGGGAGTGGGGAGATGATTCGGAGGGCAACTTCTGCCGTGATGTCATTGATCCGTACATGGACCAATAGCTAGAGGCAGACGACGCTAGGAGATATGTCCCGCGATTTGTTCCGAGCTCCTGGAATCCAAGGGTTAGCCTAAATAAGTCCACCATAATACAGATTCACGCCGTTCTACTAAATCGTGTGCGGGTAGTCGAGGGCGGTCTAGTCAAAACCCTCTCAAGTCCAAGTCGGCGTCCCCAGCAAGCTCGTCTTCTAGAAGCTCGTCTCCTGGAAGGGTGACTGGCAGGCAGCGGTCATTCCGACCGATAGTTTCATTCCCGCATCACCCTGTCTGGGCTCGACTGCTTGGTAGAAGCTCGTCTCCTGGAAGAATGACTGGCAGGCAGCGGTCATTCCGACCGATAGTTTCATTCCCGCATCACTCTGTCCGGGCTCGACTGCTTAATGGCATGGGTATACAGCTTTTTGAACGGAGTCGTCCCATCCCCCCGACGCAATACCCTTGGTATTTCGTGATCCGTCGGTTTCAGTTGCGTGACTAACGCTGGCGTCCTAGCAAGCTCGCCTTCCCGGAGGGTGGGCAATGGCAGGAGACGAAAAAGGCTTCGATCCCGCACCCTTCCTGTCCGGGCTTTACTGCTTTTTGGCATGGGTATTATACAGCTAATCAGACGGTCCACGCGACTAGAGTCATATGGGCTAAATGAGCAACAAAGATTGTTTACTCGCCTTCTGGTCAGATTACTGAGGTCTGATTCGAAACGTACACCGACCGTTAGATATAGGCCAACGACGCGAAGATAAACGACGGACATTCAGTCGCCATGCTAGTAGAAAACCTAAAATCCAAAGGTTAGCCTCAACGCCACCATAATACACATTCACGCCGTTTCACTAAATCGTATGCAGGTAGTCGAGGACGGTCAAGTCAAAACCCTCTCAAGTCCGAGTTGGCGTCCCCAGCAAGCTCGCGTTCCCGGAGGGTGGGCAATGGCAGGAGATGAAAAAGGCTTCGATCCCGCACCCTTCCTGTCCGGGCTTTACTGCTATTTGTGTTCCGTCGATCCAGTCCGTTTACTAGAGTCGTCATAGGCCAAGCGAGCAACAGAGATTGTGTACTCGCGTTCAGATTGGATAGAGGAGAGGAGATGAGGTCGGACGTGACTTGGATTGTCAGATGACTAAGCACTTGCTTGGCGTCGGCTACGTCTTTTTGCTCAACATACTCATCACTGTATTCTATTCGGTCGAGTGACGCTCCTAATAACAGTATACTACTAATGATCAGACGAATCTATAACGACCCCAACCATTATCGAAAGACCTAACTCACGTCACATGCTGCGACAAAAGACCCTAACAGATATCACTAACTCTAAACCAAAAGGACCCCCGTCAAATAACCTGAAAGAGATGAGACTAACCCCCAAAAGACCCAATAAAGATAAGACTAACCCCAAAAGACCAAAATAGATAAGACTAATCCCAAAAGATGACCAGGACAACTGTCAAACCACCCAAAACAGATAGACCAAACATATCGCAACAACTGCCAAAGAGGCTAAAAAATTAGCGCCATAAAAGATAGGCCGACAAAAAGACGAGAACCACAACCGTCAAAAGCTAAAGGTTGCGACTAGGGTCAGAAAACTCACGAGGAGGTAACTGGAGCGTGCAACCTATTATCAACTAGTGCTACTCGACATGAATTTTCTTTCGAGTCGCAGGACGAGAGACGGAAGTCCAGCCCTTCGCAGGGATGTCGGGGAGGTTGATGTTAGTGGAGGGAGGGGAGATTTGGGGGTGGGGGAACTGGGGAAGACGGGGAATTGTTTGGAGCTCAGCCACTTCAATCGAACTGGCCGATGCATCGGTAAGGTAACCCACTTCCATATCGATTGACTCGTCCCCACGCCCGCCAGGAGGAATACCCCCATCAGGGCCACCATCAATGTAACTACCTTTCCCGGCAGGCTCTTTGCCGGGCATCTCTTCTTGCGTAGTTCTTTCAGACTCCGGAGCGCTGTCAGCTTGTGAACCTGTGGCCCGGCATTCGTACTCTGGTATTAAGTCCCCTTGCTCTTCCTCCTGCTCACTCTCATAGGGCGAGCTCTCAGCAGGCTCATCGAACAGATGGTGTCTAACGTATTGACCGCATTAGCCGCATTAGGAGAAACTATACTACTGGTACGGAATTTAGTCCAACTTGCGCTCTCGACCTTTTCCCTCCTCGCTCGGCAGCAGTAGTCTGAGCAGGTGTTTTGGCCGGGGTTTTCGGGCCGGGTGTCTTTGATGGCGGCATCTTGGCCGGCGTCTTGGGCCCGGGTGTCTTTGATGGCGGCGTCTTGGCCGGCGTCTCGGGCCCGGGTGTCTTTGATAGCGGCGTCTTGGCCGGCGTCTTGAGCCCGGGTGTCTTTGTCTTCTTTCTCCTTGGGGCCTCCTCCTCCTCTTCTTCCTCCTCTTCTTCCTCGTCCTCCTCCTCTTCTTCTTCCTCGTCGTCGACGTCATCGTCCTCCTCGCACTCTTCGTTGTCGTCGTCGCCATCATCGTCGTCTTTCGGGCCCGCATTGCTCGAGCTGCCCCCTGCTTTACCTTTCGGGCCCGCCTTGCTCGAGCTGCCCTCTCCGGCGTTCTCTCCTCTGGGCTTTTTACGGGAACTCGACCCACCACCTTCAACCTCGCCTTCGTTGTCGTCGTCGGCGTCGTCGTCGGCGTCGTCGTCAGCGTCGTCGTCGTCGTCGTCGTCGCTCACCTCCACAATCTCACTTCTCTTCCTCTTCGTCGGTTTCCCCCAACGAGTTCCTGTCTCCTCGGCCTTGATGCCCGATGCTCTCCGGTCAATCCGCAACTGATTGTCCATCAGCACCTCCCAGTCAACGTGAAAGTAGGGGAATGACAGCGGCGGTGGAGTCTGCCTGGCGTTTTTATCGCGCTCATTATAAACCACCAATAGTCTCAGTCACGGTGCAACTTTACAAGCATTGAGCCATACTCTGACATCTTTGTCCGACTGTAGGAAGATGACCTGTTCAGTTAACGGCCGGTAAACACGATATTGACCCGACGCGGTCTTGGAAAACTCCTCGTCGAGGACAAGAGACCCGACCAAATGGCGTATCGCGGGGTGTGGCAAGTCAGAAGCACCGCCGCGGGTTTCAGGGTCTAGTTGTACCCCCCTGACCATCCTCACGACCTCCGATAGATACGGACCGGGAAGTGAACTAAACGTCAGGTAGGGATGCCCACCAAAGGTTCTTGGAGTCCAATTAGGCATTTCCCAAGGCTTCTAACGTAGTCCCAACTTCGCCCCTCCGAGTCGCTCAAAGCGGTATTTGGAGGGGAAACAATGTGAAATGCCGATAGGCCGATCAGTAAGATATGGTGCCCTTTCGACCTTCCGGGTCTTCGCCGAGAAGAGCTCGTCGGCTTCCTCGGATGTCTCTTCATCGTCCCTCTCATCTCCGACGTCTGCCTTGTCCCTCGGCTTCTCCGCTTCGTCTTCCGACGAGGCAAATTCGTCAATGTCAGGGTAGACCTCGTCCTCGTCGTCGGGCAGAGGCGCCTGGGCCTGCTTGCTCCTCTTTGTGGAACTGCGAGTTGGTGCCGTCTTGCGCTGCTTGCCCTTGCCTTTTGTGTCGGTCGCCTTCCCCTTGGTCTCCTTCTTCTTCGCTGCTTTCGCCTTCGCTGACTTCGCCGCACGCTCCTTCTCTTTGAGTGCCTCAGAGAACTTCTCTCTATCCTCAGCAGACTTACGTTTGGCAAGATCTTGGAGTGTACTGCTCACACAGACTTTGATCAAGGCCCCTTGTAAGGTGCAATCTTCCTCCGGCTGTTGAAGCAGGCATCTGAATTTATTCCAGGGTGGATAACTGAGCAGGAGTCTCACGGCCTCGTCCCATTACTCGTCTGTTGCCATAGTTCTGCTGGCAATCGCATTCTCGACAAAGTAGTCGTGTACAGCTTCGAACATGTTCCTCCATTGGGCCGGCATAATGCCGAGCAAGGACTTAACTTCGGCGCCAGTAAATTTGCTCTTTTTCGCATACCCCTGGCGGGCGTCAGAGGGCGAGAGATATAGGACTTGATAGAAATCTTGCCTCTGCTATGCACGCTGCTCTGCTAATCGACAAAACCCAGGGGCCCTCCTTATCGGCCCATTCCATTCTTTTCTTCGGAGATGACCTTCCCGCTTGGGCTAATGCCGACTTGTTCTTACCCGACCGAGTTCTCACCATTGTAGTCAGTTGCGTTAGGAAGGTGGTCCAAAGACGGTTGACCGTTGGTGGATGCCTTCAGGAGGATAGACTCCGGGGAAACAACGGGGTATTTAGACCCTTATATAGAACAAAGACTGTGCGAATTACCATCGTGAGGGTGTGCTGGAATCTGCAACTCGTAACGCCTAACCATATACAAAAGGCAGGGGACGACAAACAAAGGCTCATCGTCGCCGGATTAGGTTAATGAATGAACCAACACGAGTGCTTTGACGGAGGTTTGCAACTGTTGGTGGTGAGGTCAGACGATGTTGTGATGAATGATGTCAGGTCGCATGTGCTTGGCAAAGCTTGGCTCGCGGCTGACGACCCCGGGGAAACGATCGTCGGTCTGTGCTACAGTGGTCATTTTGCTCAGTCAGAATTCCAGCAGTATAAACCCACTCGATACCAGTGCCAGTGAACGCGAGAATGAGGCATACGACGAAGCAAAAGACGCGCACGACAAGCCAAAAGACCATCACGACTGATCAAGAAAGCGGATGTCATCCACACCTTGCCCCCTGTGCCCAAGGTATTACCGTCGCGCGGGACATCTTGCAAGACATATTTACCGGCATCATGGCGGTGACGATGCGCCTGAGGACGAGCGTTTAGAAGACGAAACTACGCTGCCAGACGCCGGGCCTGGTACGCTTACTTTGGTAATTGATGGCTCGGACGATTCTACAGACTCAGAAGCCGACTCTGAGGCAGAATCCGACTTTGACCCTGACTCCGACGACGATGGCCCTGCGGCGATCGCCCCCCCGATCTCAGAGCAAGCTGACGATAATCAAAGGGCCACAGCATACCTACCCAACAGTGGACAAAGACTAGGTCGGGTCCAGGGCTATCGGGACTATATGGATGAGAATTGGAAGCCCTGGGCACCGTTCAAAGACGCAGCGGAATGGAGATTGGCTCGTTTCTTTATCGAGCACAAGCTGACCTCTATATCAATTGACGCCTACTTCAATGAGGGGTTGCACAAGACGACAAAGAACGAGCGTTCCTTTCAGTCCGCTTATACTTTCCAGAACCAGCTCGACAAAATGACAAGCTCCCCACCTAACTTTCAATACGGGACCGTCGGGGACGGCTTTGGAAGAACGACCGACTTATATTACAGGAATCCGGTCGAATGCGCGAGGTATCTCTTGGGTCAACGTTGCTACAAGTCGAGCATGGTTTATCGGCCGGAGAGGGTTTACGACGCGGACGGATATCAACTCTATTCCGAGATGCATACAGCGGACTGGTGGTGGAATATGCAGGAAAGACTTCCTACCGGGGCCACGATTGTCCCGATTATCTGCAGCTCCGACGTCACGCATCTGACAAACTTCTCCGGAGACAAGAAGACCTGGCCGATATATATGACGATAGGCAATATACCGGGAAAAGTACGATCCAAGCTGTCGACCAAGGCGCATTTGCTACTCGCACTATTGCCAATACCTCCTAAGATAATTGGCGACGCGACGTCAAAGGGGAGACTCCGGTCCTGGGGGGCGGAGACGCTGAGGAGAGTCATGTCAGTTATACTGGAGCCTCTGCTGGACTTTGACCAAAGGCTCGGCGTCTTAATGGGCTGCTCAGACGGGTACGAGAGACGTTGTTGGCCGATTCTGACGGCATGGCTTTCGGACCACATGGAGAGCTGCAATATTCTGAATACCAAGTTCAACTTGTGCCCCAAGTGCGAGATACCCATCAATAGACTGGGCGAATACGAAGCAGAACCGCTCAAGACCTACCCTCGTGATCAGGACGAATACAAGAGAATGTATCGTCAGTACAGGGCGCTGAAGGTACTGGAGAATCCGACGAGAGACGAAAGGCGGGAGCTGAAGACGCTGACCAAGTGGTTCGATTCTCGTGGTTTACAACCTCTGTACAACCCTTTCTGGAATCTCCCCTTCGTCCAAGCCTACGACCTCCATAAGCCAGACATGTTGCACGTGGTATACTTGGGAATCCTGAAACATCTTATGGAGTGGCTGGAAGACTTCCTGAAGGAACATGGTCGTTTGGATGAATTCAACGCCATATGGACATGGACGCGCATGCCACCTTACCCTGGATTTACCCCACCGACGAAGCCTTATCAAGCGGTCAGTCAATGGCAAAGGAAGGAGATGCGTAATTTTCAGAAAATAATCTTACCAGCCCTGGCGTCTGCCCTCAGGAATCCGTCATCTGCCCAGGCAGAGCCATTCAAGAAACCCTTTCAATGCGTCCGGGCATTGATCGACTGGGCACTAGTCGCCCAGCATCGTTCTCATAACGAGCTGATGATAGCCATGTTGGATAGTTACCTAAAGGCTTTCCATAGGACGAAGGATATCTTCAGGAAATATCGCGCGACTAGAGAGACTGACAGACTTGTGGCGGAACGACGGAGGGAATTGCGCGGGGAATACGACGTCGAGTTAGCAGGCCTAAACGACTCTTTAGGCCAAAGACGAAGGGTTATCGCAGACCAAAGGCTAAATCTCCAGGCGGAAACCGACGAGATCTTGCGAGCAGAATCCCACTTCAACTTCCCCAAGATAAACCTCATGGGCCATTTCGCAGAGCACATTCGTCAATACGGCAATATTCCGGACTATTCGACGGAGTCTTGCGAGTCAGCCCACAGGGATCAGATCAAAATACCGTATCGTCGGAGCAATCGCGTCGATCCCGCAATGCAGATACTTCGGACGTTTAACCGTGATTATACGTTTTCCATTTGCGAATTAAATCTTCTACAAATTGCCCGGGACGGTTTTTCGACCACTGAGCTTGTCGGCAATCTCGACGTCTTAGAGCCACGTCTGAGGAGGAGGATGCAAGCTGCAAGACGGGATCTTAGAGACCCTCAGGACGACCCGGCGTTTCAAGTGCAGGATATCGCGCCATTGGTCTATTTACCAAGCGACACCAGGGTGGAGAAGAGGTGGGTCAAATGCCCGGTCAAATTAACAAATGTCGGGAGTGTAGATATCGCAGGTGCTACAAAGAGACTGGGGTATTACATCCGGCGGTATTTCAGGAGGGAGCTATGTCTTGGATACGAAGATATGCCCGAAGACATCGATAGCTGGCGGGTAAACACATTCAAACAGCTCAACGTACACGTCCTTTTGCACGGCGAGGGCGACGAGAGGACAATTCACACACTTCGTACGACGGGAAAGTCAGGTTATAGACGGGGAAACGCGCGCAACGACTGGGTCTGGTTTCGTCAAAAGCCGGCTGACCTGGACGCTTTGCAGGGTTTATGCCCAGCAAGGCTGCTTGCGGTCTTTAAGCTCAGGGACCCAAGACGAAGGGGGGCCAGACTTCTGGCTGCGATACACCCATTGAAGCTGGACTTCAATGGAAACCCCAACGTCGACCACGGGCTAATAATGGTATCACGCTGCTCAAGCTCTCCTGACGATATATGGGTAGTAAACATAAAAAGCATTTTGGGCGCCGCTCATTTGGTGCCTGAGGCGACGTCATCTACGAACAATAGATGGTTTATCAATAGTACGATCGATCTATCGACATACGGATCAATCTACTGAAGTAAGACGGGACGTTGGACTGAGTTTTTTATAATGATACTGACGACATGAACACCAGACAAGAGACTTTAGACAGGTGAACTTCTGACGATAGGTTTTGAGCAGGGGGGATTATGACGAACGGGGAAGACAAACGGGAATTAGGCGGGAGTCCTTAGACATGTTAAACAGTGGATATTCGACGCACTAGATTGTATTGTACATATTAGGTGGAAGGTATTACACGGGCCCGGGGGTCATTAGAGTTTGTATTTCAGACGAAGTGATTATTGGACTTGGATTTTGGACAGAATTATGTCCGAGTCAAATGACGAAGATTTCCCAATTGAGCCATCTTCGTCTTTTGACGGATAGTGAAGACGGGGACATTTGGCATAAGACGAGCGTAGGATAGATTGATTCAAAAGACGAGCTAATGAGGTCGCATGACCGGTTTCGTAATTGGAGCTCTAAATGGACAACGTTTTGTGGTCGAATGACGGGCGGCCAAAAATAGCGGGACATACGACGAGATCTCAGAGCCAAAAGACGAGGTCTTGGGGGCAAAAGACGAATTTGGGCATCTGGGTGCCGGAATTCGTCTTGGGGAAACCCATTTTTTGCTGATGGATGATATTGATTATGTTAGATGAGGCAGAAAAGTGCTCGGAAGATACAGTAAGCGTTAGGTGCTTCGGGTTAGGATGGCGGGAAGAAGGATCAGGATCGGTTATGGGATTTCATTATGTTCGTCTGATATTTCTTTAGGTGTGGTCACTGGGGTTAGTAATCAGGTTTTTCATTGGGGTTAGATTCTGGGCTTCATCCCCACTCTCTGTACTTCTCTTTCTTCCTTCTTCACGCAACGTCTTCATTCTGTTTGTCAGTAATATATTCTGTTTCGATCGGTACTCAGTCCGATACCCGGTCCAAGTCTGAGAACGTATCCAAGTCGATCCTAGCCTCAGTACCTAACACAGAATCCTTCCCGAAAATCCAGCCCTGTTAAACTACTTTGCGTCGACTTAGATTGACTCCTGATACGTAATGTCTTCCACCTCCACGCTTTAGTGGCAATTCCCTGAGGCACTCA